CCTTACTAGTAGTAACAAGAAGCTATTAGTAACAAGTGCATCGCTAGAAGTAACAAGTGCCTTACTAGTAGTAACAATGTTTGCTAGTAGAAACAATAAGCTAATAGCTTCTTGCTCCTAGTAGTAAGGCCAGGAGCAACTTGTAGCGTCCTTGCTCCTAGTAGCGAAGCCCTTTGCTCCTAGTAGCTTCTTGCTCAACTATTGTAAATCATGCAAAATCGTTGAACTATGCCTTCTTTGTTTACTAGGGAGGCCATCGCTACTAGCATGGAGCAGCATTTGTTTGTAGTAGAAAAGGCCCAGAACGGTTTCATTCATGTCCGGTTAGAACGGTTTCATTGTGTGTTTTTACGTGTCTTTACTAGTAGGAGCAAGGACGCTACTAGTAGTTCCTGGCCATACTACTAGGAACAAGAAGCTACTAAAACACGTGTCTTGGACTTCTTTCGAGGCGGCCGAGGCGGAAGACTTCCGCGCCTTGGACTATTTGCTCCGCCGAGCGGAACAGAACACACACCTTTGTGGCCTCCAGGCGAGCGAAGACACAGAGCTTCTCATCACTTCTAGGAGCGATCGGACGCTACGAACGGGGCTACTTCTAAAGGTCTGAAGAAACGTAAGTAGCAACTAAGCCTAAAGGACATCAGAATCTACAAGTTCAATTGGGGGTATCAAACCAGCGTCGGCTTCTCAAGCATGGCGTTGGAATTTGGAAGTTGGGAATGTCTTGCCTTCGAGCGAGTCATAGGTGAAGGAGCTGGACCTCGAGCAGTTCCAGCAGCTCGCTCAGAAGCATCAGGCGCCGACAGAACATCGAGAAAGTGACGCGGGTCTTTCCTCGCTGGTAGGAGCAAGAAGCTACTAGGGGCTCCTGGCACACCATCGCGATCGGTCCAAGCGTCTCGCAGCCACACCCACTCTGGAGTATGGTAAGTGAAAAGAAAAGGACACAGGTGGTCACACACACACATGTACACTAATTAGCAGCCATCGGCAACACGACATCCCACGTGTTCAATGGCCTCCCGGCACCATTGTCAAAGAGGTGCACCAGCTGCAGTCTCTCATGATCGGACATGTAGACTGACACTCCAGCAACAATTCCCTTGGGGAACGCACAGCCGCAATATTTGTTGGTTGTCGCAATAAGATCGCCCGGCAAAATTTGATTGTTGTCCAGACGAAGAGATTGCTTCAACATTGAACGAAATACCACGATCAGGTGGTGATAAAAAAACTTACACCAGCTTCCAGTTGTGTGTGAAGGTGGCCCCTCCACCAAAACAAGCATGCAAGTTCAGTTGCAGCCACACACGCGTCATCGGACAACTTCCACCGAAGGTTCTGTAAAAACGTTCGAAAGTGACGCCAGTCATCCTCGGTAAAGCTCCACCGTGGCGGTGGGGGTTGCCGAGTAAAGATCTTTGGCTTCCAAGGAAGTTGTGAGAGCTGAGCACCCCACAACCACTGGGGAAAGCGCGATACAACTGATGCCGCAGTGTCAGAAGAAGTCTGGGGTGGTGACTGATACGTCGGAGATGGCTGCTTAACTTCAAGAAGCCAGTTCAACATAACTAACCACTCTTGTCGGCGTAATATGGCTTGTTCAATGACCTTCTGGTCAGAAGGACGAATAGGTGCCTGCTCTGTAGCTAACCAATTCGCTTCCCGATCTGCAATACGGTTGGCAAGAATGTCACGTGACGTAGAGCCACACTCACGTGCTGCTGCCTCAGAAATAAGCTCCGCCGGCAGATGCTCGAGGAGGTGACTCGGTATCCACGAAACAATGAAGGGAGCATTACAAACCTCGAGGCGCAAGGTCAGCACTCTGCAGATTTCACGCCACCACTTTTGGCGCGACCAGCGTGGGTCAACTTGTCGTGCGCGGCAAAGATCGTTGAACTGTTCCACAACAGATTGGCAGTCTGACCGAACATGTATCCGGCCACGTGCAAGCTTGACAACCCGAAGGAGGGCAAACAACTCTGTTGTATAGGCGGAAAGTTCCCAATGACGAACAGGTCCTGATTCCACCACCTGAAAATGGGCGTCAATGATGGCATACGCTCCGGTAGCCAGCCAGAAGTAATTGCCCCACTGCACTGAGCCGTCAGTCCAGAAGTATTCCAGCTGCTCAGGATCAAAAAGCACTGATGTATCCCCGACAGGGGAGAGGCCAAGCCTGTGGATGGCAACCTTCCTTGGATGAGCGCAGAGGCCAAATGTGGAAAAATTGAGCCCAAACTCATGGTCAGGGGGCCGAGAGATTGCAGATGCAACCCCAGGGCATGAATAGACAAGGTGGTCCCAAGTCTCCTTCTCACAATTGCACAGTCTGCACCTGGGTGTGGGAACAAGTTCAGCCCGAAACAGGCGGTCATTGGTCAAGTTGCATCCTACTTGAACAGATTCGAAAAAGATCCGGTTTGGGATCGTCGAGTCAAGGTGTAATCGAGAGCGGCGGTGAAAAAGAGAGGACAAATCTGGGTCAAAGATGTCCTGGCAACTCTGGAGGTCCTTGCGAGTCGACTTGGCGGCTTCATTATAGCATCGCTGTCGGGCAAAGTATTGCAGCGGTTTAGTAACATCCCGGTGATTGAGCTCGTAGAAAGGAATGAGACTTGATCCACGAAATGAAATGCACAAAGCTGGATGCAACGTCAAACCAAGATGCCCCAAGGCATCCGCAATCATCTGAATCAATGAGCCACGGGGCCAAAGCCGGGCATTTTGAAGATCACAGCATGTCTGCACAGCACTAGGCATATGGTGAAGGAACCTGACAAAGTCGAGAATGGCCGCATACGCCCTGGCTAACATGGGCTCGACGCGGTGGGGTTTGGCAACAATACCAAGCACTAGCAAGCGAGCTCTCCAATGAGGTCGTCGAGCCCAAATGACATTAACAACCTCATTTTGTGTCTTCCAAAGGACTTTCTGCAGAATCTTAGTGATAGCCGCACCATATGTGAGCTGCGGAATAACCTTGGTCCCAATCAGATGCTGCTTAACATCTTGTGTCAAGGGGGGAGCGGCGATATTCCTCAGGTCGTCAACGACTTTAACTCCTTTCTTTGAGTCAAAGTCAAAGGATCGTGAAGAGGAAACATACATCTTGATGCCCAAGACATCAATCACATCCGCCAGAGGAATGTCTGGAAAGAGAGCTGCCACTACTTTTTTCTTCTTGGGGTCTGAAACCCATAATTGGCATTTGGTGGGATTGGACAGTTGGCCGGTCAATGCATCCCAAAACTTCGTAACATCTAAGGCTCGTTGGAGGTCTGCGATATGGAGGATATTGGCCCACATATAAGCATCATCTATGAAAGCCTTGGTGGTAATCGTGGGAATGAGATTGCAAAAAATCGACCACACAGCCATGAACAAGTTGATGGCTATGAGGGATAACGAACATCCCTGCGCGACCCCATTGGAGGCCGTCGTGGCGACAGGGGATATCCACCCTCGCACGCCGGCGTAAGTTGGCATAGATCTGGAGAAAGAAATGCACGACACCACGTGGAAGGCCGAAAGCCAACATGAGCACACCAGCCATAGCTGGAATGAGGCGGTCAAAACATTTAGACTTATCCAGCTTGAGGCCAACTAACACTTCATCTTCATGCTTAGCAACGTCAAGGTCTGACCTTAATTGTGTGTGTGTACGGCAGTCATGGTACGACCTTTGATGGCTCCACACAAGTTTGGAGGAAGTGCTGTCTGCTGCCATGATTGGAGTTGCCAAAAGCGTAAACCCAAATAGGATAACAGAAGTGCAGGAAGGAGGGTGATTAACCTCTTTTTGCATCGGCGAGGGATCCCCGTTCTTATTGAGCACCATCTGTTTAGCAATGGTCAGCACATCAGGGAGAGGGGTGAGCTCTTGTTCAACTTGATTAAAAATCAATGCAATCGGCGCAAAGGCAAACCACGGGAGTCTTTGAAGCTCTTTGGTCCTCCAACCATCTAAGCCGGGAGCGGCCTCGGGCTTACGCCTATGAATCTGGTCATGAAGATCACGGGCAGTAATCTCGGGGACTTGGGCTGGATGGGACAGATGTGACACATAAGGCCAGATCACCTTAAGGACACCCTGAGGATCTTCATGCAAGGCATTGACGCCGAACACCCCATCCCATTGAGAATTAAACTCAGCCAGGGCATCCAAGGGTTGGTAGACGATGTGACCATCACCATCAGTAATCAGGTTGGGAGGCACATCAGAAGCCTTTTGTTTCAGGTGTTGGAAGATGTATTTCATACTACCATCAGCGGAGGCTTGCATCTTCTCCTTCCAAAGCTGAATTCGACTCTGCCTTGTGGTGTGGGTGACCTGTGAAAGGACACCTTCGAGCCAAGACAAGCAGTCAAACACCTGCATCAGTGTCGGATACCGGTGGGACTCCCAAACATGTGGACAGGACCAGTGAACAAGGATGGATCGCGCCTTGCGTAAGGATCCAGAGAGGGTAACACCATCTTCAAAGGATTTCACCGGTCGCGCAAGCCGAAGGGAGACCTCACGAAGGATATTGACAGCTCTGGCAATGCGTTTGGTTTTCCGCGAGAGAGCATCCCATGGTTAGTCTGTCCCGGACAGATTCGTGTGGGGCGAAAAACAGGTAGGGTCCCTCGGTGCTTCGGACCTTTATCCCAGGTGCCACCATTGGCTGTGAGGACATGAATGAGGTACTGGTTAGTGATGTCCCATTTGTCATCAACCGACGTGGCAGCATGGAAGGCTTGTTCACTACCAGTGGTCCAAAGGTGGACGGCATTTGTATGACACGGACAAAGTGGATCTTCCGAGTCAGGGATTGTACAATGGTCAAGGTTAAAGGGGGCAGGTTTGACCAACGTGAAACCAACCTGCGTGATTCAGTCCCACTCGAAGAGGGCACGGATCGGCCTGTGTTGAACCTTTAATTCCAACACTTCGATATGACGCAAGGCAGAAAAAGCAATGTGATTACACAGGATACCATCGATGGATGTACACCGGTCTCCGTGCCCGGTGAATAGACTATCGTTGGAGTATGTTAACGGTCGAAAAAGGTCACCTGCATCATCAACACTGAACAAGGGATCCACCCAGGAATGGTGGTTGACGGCTGCCGAAACAGTGCGATATTGGAGAGGATTCATTTGAAAGTCCCCACACACGATGACAGGCACCGATCCAAATTGGGCAGCGCATTCAAAGATCCGTCCCAACAAAAGGTCATTTTCCTCATGGACTTCAGGGCACTTTGATGCCGAGGTTTTGGCGTAGACCGAAAACACAAGGAGCTTGACCTTTGGGGCAACCTGCGCCCAAACCGCAACGACTCTTTTGGACTCATACAACGATCGGTATGTGGTGCAAACACTGGGACTAAGGGGGGTGGCGAACTCGCTGCTCGCCAGGATGGCTGTACCCCCCGATCCAGATTTGACAACTCCGTTGGACTGTAAAATGCCAGGCAGTAAGCCTCCATGAAACAATTTCTTACCACAAGCGTCAACATCTTTGGAACAGGATCTCACATTATTTTTCCCAACGCGGGTCTCCTGAACACATATAACATCGTCACCGCACGTGGACCAGAAAGTGTTCTTCTTAAGGGAGCCAATGTTAGCAGTAACAATGGAGAGCTGAGGCTGTCCAGCAAACCCAGGTCCTTCGCCTGGGAAGCCCAACGTACAGTCAAAAAAGACAGGGAACCACGCTGGATTGGTTCCGGAGGTGCAAAAAAGATAGGTGCACTCATGACCCCTGGAGGCGACCCGAAACATGCAGTAATTAGGCCCTGAGCCTAAAGCGAATGCGCTGCATAAGGCGGCA